TCTCCAGGTGTTGTTAGAGCAGGTATTCGACGCCTAACTCAACTTTTTAGCAGACTCAATATATGCTCAATAGGATTTAAATCGGGGCTTTGAGCAGTCCAGTCTATTTTTGGAATACCAACCTCGTCAAGGTACTCCATTACTGTCCTTGCCGTGTGTTGTCTCGCATTATCCTGCATTAGCAGGAATTCGTTGCCAATAATTCCAGCATAGGCCATCACATAATGTTTTAAGATTTCCGTTATGTACCTTACTGCTGATAACGCACCTCTGTCGATCACGACGAGATCCGTACGAGCATCAAAAGAAATCCCTGCCCAAAACATTACTGAACCACCACCAAAAGCAACACGTGGTGCCCGAGTGCAACCAGCGAAGCGTTCTCCAGCCTGTCTGTACACCTTACTGCATCCGTCTTTGCCATAAATACACATTCTACACTCATCCGTAAACAATACTTTTTTCCAATCGTCTGCTGTCCAATTGGTGTGCTCACGAACAAAATTAAGTCTTCGTCTTTTGTGAGCTGGTCGCCGAATAGTAGAAAGGCTGATTGCTGGTCCTTGAGCTCGCTGTAAATGACGCTGAAGTATTCTAGCGGTTTGGGTCCGATTTCGTAATGCAGCAAGAATGACGACGCGATCTTCCCTAGCGGTTGTTTTCCTTTTTGGGCCCGTGCCAGGTGATCGTTGGTGAGATCATTTCACAATAAATCGTTGCTTGGTCCTTTGTATAGTCGAACGACTAACATTCAATTGTCTTGCAACTTGTCTTTGACTTAATCCACTTCCCAGTAACGTTACGATTTCAACCGATTTTTGAAAATTCTCCATCGTTTTTAACTCAAGACTACTTCACACCAAGTCGGCTACTGTAATACTGAGATGCGTTTAAAACGCATTAGAACTCTTTACAGTATTTATTTAACCACGTATCATAAAGGTTGTGTGTTTCCGTGTTTGCTAATTATCATTTGATAATTAAGTCGAAAATAGTTAAGTGACAAAAACTGGTAAGATAATCCAAATTACTTTTGAATTGTTTATAGTCCGGACGCTTGGTTAGAAATAATGAAGGACACCTAGTGACTGCCAGGATTGTTGGTTCTCGCTAAAATGATCCAACAAAATGCGGGTCCGCAAACACCTAACGAGGTACTGTTAATACAACAAAATAGTGCACTCTTTCAGGAAAATTATGCAAGGTCCCAGAATGAACAGATGCTGTACACGGCATGGAAACAGACGGAAATGGAAAAGATTTACGCTACGGATAGGATAAATCAGCTCCAACTCCAGTTAGATACCTTACAAAAATTAAAAGAAAGCTTGCAATTAAAATTTGCAGATCTAGAGAAAAACTTGTCCAAAGAGAAAGAACCTAAGAATGAGGAGTTTCATACTGACGATGAGGAAGTAGCTAAGGAGACAGAGTGGATACGTGTCAAAAACTTCAAAAAACGTAAAATGGATACATCATTGACCCCACCACAAAAATAGTCATATATCCAGCAAAGAGAAGAAAAAACCAGAAAAACACTAATTCCACCTCCAATAATTGTGGAGAGTATTGCCGAATTTAGCCAATTTCATGAATTAGTCAGACTACATACTGCTAAATTCCAGATAAAAGTATTTGGAGACAAGAGCGCTAAAATTAATGTCGATAGTGAAGAAGACTTCAGAAAATTAACGAAAAAGTTGATTGAAGTAAATTATCCATGGCATACGTATGAAAATAAGCAAAGCCGACCCATTAAAGTTATGGTCAATAAGTTACATCATTCAGCCAGTAAGGATTCGATCATGAACGATCTAAGTAATAAAGGATTCAAGATAATAGATGTCATACCAAAATTAAAATACAAAACAAAGCAACCACTAAATATGTTTATGCTGGTATTCAGAAATGACGAAAATATCAATAGAATCTATGAGATCTCAGATATCATGAACGTAAAAGTACAAATACTTCCGCTCAGAAAATCAAAATTGATACCTCAATGTAAGAGATATCAGGCATATGGACACACACAAGGTTACTGTTCGAAAGAACCGAGATGTGTCCGCTGCACAGGAAAACACCTAACAGCCAAATGTGAGAAACCCAAGGACGCAAAATCTAAATGTGTCCACTGTGGAGAAGGGCATCCGGCTAACTATAGAGGATGTATCGTGGCAAAGGAAATACAAAAAATAAAAGATAAATATAACAAGAAACAGACCTTACCCAGACAACCTCAAAAAATGCATCCAAAACCTGTAGAAAATCCAAAACAAGAAGAAAACAAAACAAGAACTTATAGTATGGTAGCAGCTGGTAAAAGTAACGAAGAAAACTATAGTAGTCAAAAAGATCTGAAAATAGAACAAACACTACAAAACATATTAGAGAGATTAACTAACCTAGACGAGCGTATAACCAGAATAGAATATAGCACCAAAGGAGCTATACCTAAAAGACTTGGTAATGGCGGGTAATTTACGAATACTAGAATGGAATTCAAATGGGATCTTGAAACATCAGCAAGAACTACAAGCGATACTAGATATAGAAAAAATAGACATATGCCTCATTTCTGAAACCCATTTTACGAATGAGTCAAATATTAGATTTAGGGGTTACAAAACTTATCATACTACTCACCCGGATAATGCAGCCAAAGGAGGTAGTGCAGTAATAATCAAGGAAAATATTATGCACTATCAGGAAATTGGATACAGAACAAAAGAATTTCAGGCCACATCAGTAAAAATTAAATGTAAAAATTATGAGGTAATCGTCACAGCAGTTTACAGTCCGCCAAGACATGCCATCAAGAAAAATCAATACGTAGAATTCCTGACCAGTCAAGGACATAGATTTATCCTTGGAGGAGACTTTAATGCAAAACATACGCATTGGGGATCACGACTGACTACAACCAAAGGGAAAGAACTTTTAGAAGCAATGAAATACATAAAATGCGACGCAGTATCAACGGGAAAGCCAACATACTGGCCTACTGACACAAATAAAATTCCAGACCTTATCGACTTCTTTGTAGTTAGAAGTATTTCTACAAATTACATAGAGATAGAAGAGGCATTTAATATGACCTCGGACCATGCTCCAATTATTCTTACACTCAGTGACACTGTTATCAAAAAAGAAAGCCCCCCTAGACTTGTTAACAAAAATACTGATTGGAAATGTTTCCAGATAGACCTTGAAGAGAAGATTAACCTCTCAGTGTCCATTAAGAACCATTGATCAACTAGAAGCAGAAGTAGAATTACTCAATAAAAATATACAACAAGCTGCTTGGAACAATTATATTCCATCATTAGAACCTAACACAATTGCGACATTTGCAGACGACACATGCATTCTAGGAGTCGGACAAAACCACCAGGATTTGGAAAAATTAACATCTGGACCAGCCGATGGCGTATCAAATTGAATGAAACAAAATCTGTTCATGTCAATTTTACTAACAAAAGAGAACAACATATCCCAGTACATATAAATAAAAACCAAATACCTTATGCAAATACGGCAAAATATTTGGGTATGACGTTAGATTCCAAGCTACGTTGGAAAGCACATGTTAAGAAAAAAAAAGGAGGAATTAGAAATTAAGTTCAGAAAGATGTACTGGTTGATGGGAAAAAAATCCACTCTGCCTATTTACAACAAATTGCTATTATATAAGTAAGTCCTTAAACCGATATGGACATACGGAATACAGCTATGGGGCTGTACAAAAGAAAGCAACATCCAACATATACAACGATATCAGAATAAAGTATTAAGGAACATCGTTAACGCTCCATGGTACTTTAGAAACTGTGATCTTAATCGAGACCTTCAGATGGATACAGTTATCCAGACAATAAGTAAGTTTGCCGAGAGTCATGAACAAAGGCTCTCCAACCACGTAAACGTCGAGGCCATCAAGCTCCTAGACAACGCCAACCAGATAAGAAGATTAAAGAGAACGAAGCCGTTTGATTTAGTGCTATAAGTGAGTGAAAGTGAAAAAGCAGAGTAAAGTGCGGCTAAAGTGTACACGTTAGCTAGTAGTACTATAATGTATTAGAGCCTAAGGAATATTGCTGAATATAACCTTAGCTAAGTTTCTTGTAATATTTATATATAGAACTAACTTGCTAATTGATCATAGTGAATGATCAGATAGCAATAGTCATATTGGAGTTTTATTAAAAAAAAAAAAAATTAGAACCCTTTACGATATCATACACTTCTCAAAACAATCGCTTCCTCGAAAATTGATCAAGTTGTAAACTTTTTCTCAAAATTGTTTTGTTTTATAGGTTCTACGAATATCCGCAATCCAGTTACAGGGTCGGTTTGCTTTCGCAACAACCCATTTAACTTAAATAACCCAAGACACATTAAAAATAAAATAAATAAATGCTTAATTTTGTAGCAATAAATAATAATTTCAAAAATATTTAAATATTTGGAGTGGCCCGTTTTCTATGACGCGGAGTTTAGTTTTTTCGAAATTGACATGATAAAGACTCATCATATTGACATATGATAAATATATTCGGAATTATAAGATCGTGATAATTGAAAAAATAATACACCGTTTTAAAAGATTTGAAATTAGGTACATTTGGGGTAAAATGACCCGAAAAAATAAATTCTGTCAAAAGTAATGACTTTTCGATAAATCGGTAAAAGAAACAAAAATTTGTCTAACTACCGAAAAATCGGTGTAAAGGTATCATCACAGCTGACATAGTAGGTACATTGTAGATCGTTGTTTTTAAGAAAACATTTAACAAAACTGTCAGCGACTGAATATTTCGCTGGTGATTCATTTTCCGTTTCGCTTTCGGTTCGGCACATACCAGCAAAGAGTCCTAGGAAACTACAGATTGACAATATTTATTACTCCATTATTGTTATTCTTATTTAGTAGAAATTTGATGGAGGAGTATATTTTATTTAATTATAAAACAAATTTTAATGTTCTGTTTATTTTGTAGGCACGTTTTTATGCACCGAGCACTATATTCATCGACGAAATCGACTCGCTTTGCTCGAGACGAGGTTCGGAATCCGAACATGAAGCCTCTCGACGAGTTAAATCGGAATTACTGGTACAAATGGATGGTGTTACTGCCAGCGATGAGCCAGGTAAAGTGGTAATGGTTTTGGCCGCAACTAACTTCCCTTGGGACATAGATGAAGCTTTACGACGTAGATTAGAAAAACGAATCTACATCCCACTGCCCACACAGGAAGGCAGAGAGGCTCTGCTAAGAATCAACTTAAGTGAAGTCAAGCTGGATCCAGATATCAACCTGAAGACCATTGCTAGACGTCTCGATGGTTTTTCAGGAGCTGACATTACCAATGTCTGTAGGGATGCTTCGATGATGTCGATGAGAAGAAAAATATGTGGATTAAGACCAGATCAAATCAGACAGTTGCCCAAAGAAGAACTAGACTTGCCAGTTACAATGAGGGATTTTGAGGAGGCGTTGGTTAAGAATAATAAGAGCGTTAGTAAAGAAGATTTAGAAAAGTATGAACGATGGATGAGTGAATTTGGATCTTCTTGATTGGGATTTTAATCCTCTATGAGACATCGGTTATGACTTATGTTCTTTTTAATATAGCTCAAATTTGATTAATGGTTAATGAGTTAGTAGGTTTGTAAAATAAGATACTGCCATTATTCACACTGTTTTGAACTAGTAAACAGCACATGCCTAAACAATTATAGAGGTTCATCAAACATCTTACAGTTCAACTTTTTCGTGAATTATGGTGTATGTTGCTGAGAGTAACAAATAACACTACTAATAGGTAGAGGTGACGGTCGTTCAAAGAGTCTTAATAAATTAATTAATTTCTACTTTAAATAGTTATGGAAGTAACAACTGTTACAGAAAACTGAAAAATGTATTTACCTCGAGTATATCATACTTAATACCTACGAAGTACTCCATTTTGTGCATTTATATGCATCATCTGGGAGGAAAAGCGTTTATCGTAACTAAACTCTTCTCCTGGAAGCGCGAAGTAATACAGCAAGATATTACTCTTTACATAAGGATAAAATATATAACTGTAGCTTGGAAAAGTTCAGTTGTTATCGTATTATACAATGTTCTTAAGTTTTGAAGCCAGGTTTTAGGCTTTCTTGTTATAAATTTCACCTTAAATAATGAATTGAAGCAGTCAATATTAAATTATTTTTTAGGACTGGGTTTAGATATTCTAATTTTTCCATCGTATAATTGTATTTAGGATGTCATATTGACTATAGACCCATAAAAATTGTATAACAGTTTCTAAAAAGCATACAGTTAAATAAAATTAATTATAAAAAATATTTAAAACGATAATTTTAGCATATTAGGAAGAACATAATTTCTATTCCTTGTCGGTTTTTATTATCAAGGTGTAATTTATATTGTTAAAAGCACTTATATATAATAATTTATTATGATAATTAATTAGGATTTTAACCTGTTCTAACTCAAATCTAAATGAATGGATGATTAATTCTTGAAACAATCACTGCCATGACTCTCTAATTATATCATGAAAATATTTAATTGTTATTGAATCTAGCAATCACATTATTTTGCATAATTCTGGTTCACTTTGAAAATCATGTTACTACTTATTTTTTGTTTGGCATAATCGTGTCTGATATTGTATTCCCTATGTCTCTATGATGATTTTCTAGCGCTAGAAAATAGAAAAAAAAACATAACGGCAATAGAAAACATGAAACGCCTTAGTCATTTAGAATGCTATAGTTGAGAATCAAATTTGTAGGCAGTAGATACTCAGAAATGTAAATGCGATAAAGCGACGACATCGTTGCCACTTTGTGATGATAGATATCCTAGCAATTTATATTTTAATCATTCACATGCAGCAAAATTATCGTAGATTAATGATCGTTTTGCATTCGTTAAGGTATCTAATAAAATGTATTTAATAACATCAATATTTATGTATGATATTATATTTGAAAATTTGAACAACAAGGTCCTTAACAACCTGATCTCAACGTACTATATCATGTAGGGTCCATTATGAATAAATACAAGGTGAAATTTTGAAATTAAGTATAATTTCCTTCAAGACAAATTGACGATAACATAGTCTCCATATAAAACTCGTCCCGAACTTTTGTTTAAAGTTTGAGGTGAAATATTCCGTATTTCTGGTAGTTATCCTTTCTTTGAGGTCTTCAATGCTAGTTGGTTGTGTTGCATATACTTGTGTTCTTGAGATAACCCTACAGAAGAAAATCCAAAGGCGTAAGGTCTGGCGACCTAGCTGGCCACTCAATAGTATCCCTTCGTCCAATTCATTTTTTTTAAGATTTCATTCAAGTAATTTCTCACCATTAAAGCATAATGGGATGCTGCACCGTCCTGCTGGAACCAGATAGTTTCATGCGGTAGGGTTGGATCTATTGGATTGGGATATGTTAGCCAACTGAGGAAGAACATCGTCTCTTAGCATGCTTAAATATTTCACCGCTGTCAAATTACCACCATAGCCAAATACCTGCCAAGATTCAACTTTGAGGATACTGAGTGTGTGTCTAACGTATCCAATAATGAGGATTCTCCGCTGACTAATATCCTAATTTTGTCAGTTTACCTCTCCGTTCAATGCAAATGTTGATTCATTAGAAAAAAGAATTTTGCCAAGAGCTATTTCATAACTAAAATTACTTTCACTTGATCGATCGAAAATATCATTTGGAGGTATAACTTTTCCAGTCTTCAGATTTTTTTTGTTTTTTCACTTTTTTAGTCTATGAGGAATTTCTTCTTTTTCTAATACTACTTCATCCTCATCTGATGTTGACATATCAGCCTCTTCATAATCTGGATCTACATCATCTATATCAGAACAATCATTATTCAGGGCAGCTAATGCTTCTTCTGCTTGGACAAGGGTCATATCAACTTCAGTTTTCCCTTTCCCGTAAATTACAATTATATGAACCTCGTCTGAAAAGAATTCATTGTTTAAAATGTCGTCATAAATTCTAATCTATTTAATCCACTTTTGTAACCGTTAACACCTACTGGTGGCATTTGCGTACGCCTTTTATAGGACCATACCAAATATTTGCAAATACAGAAAGAATTACAATTTATTCTTGTAAATACCAACAGCTGCATGAAGTTTTTTTGACACATTAGCAATTACACAATCACATTCATCAACCATTACTTCAAGTAGACCAACAAAATCTTTTTACATTCCAAATGTCTCAAATACATCTAAAGCATCTTATATAGGGACTGTAGCCGCCCTCTATTAGAATTATGTTGAAATAAAATAAGTCATATCACAGATACCTGTGCCGAATTATCGGCTTCGTAGTTGCCACCGTCAGGGCCGAAAGGGTTAGGCCAAGTTTCATCAGAACTTTTTGTAAGTAATGTCGCTGGTACAAGATAATTTCATCTTTTATTTCATTTCTATAAGAACACTGTTCCTGCTTTCTTTCATGTATTTGATGTTCATTTGCTCTAATGTTCGCAATAAATCACGTCGTAATATTTTAGGTATTGAATTATTGGAATTTATTTCAACTTTCTTTACGATTGGGATTTCGTTCCGAAAGATAAAGATCATTGTTTTCAAGAGATACATTATCCGATTTGCCTTCACATTGATTATTTTTTTTTAGAATTCTGTACATAGTTCTCGTCGACACTTCAGTCAAATCACTACACAGAGTAAATACATCTTTGACCAGCATGCTTTTATTAATTTCGCGGAGTCCAGAATACACATTGAATATACTAGTTTTTTCTCCCATCGAAAAATTCGGGCATCATTTACTTTGACTGTTCTCTCCTTCCACATTGCTCACAACACCAAAATACGTGTTTGCTTCGATAATCTACTCGAAAAAATGTAGTGTAAAAATGTAAAATATTTACAATGCGTTTATGTGACTCATGTCCTGTTTACTTCGGTAGCAAAACAACTGAATCCCTGAGTGTCGGCTTCATAAGATGCGGTTTAGCTAGTTTAACCACTAACCTAAAATTATTTATTCAAATTAACCGAAATGTAAATAATAATCATATTCCTACATTAACGTCATACATATTATACATAGATATTTCGTCAATACAAGTGGCTTTGTCGTAACTTCTTATGAATTTTTCGTACGCCACTGGAAGACATACAATAGCGCTGAAACGTCAATATTACTTCTAAGAACTGCCTACAAATTTGATTCTCGATTATACATATATTTATTCTATGAATGTTGGATAAATTAGTAGAATATTGAAATTTGAATATAAAAATTAATAAAATAAAAAACAATACTTATATCTAATGATTTATTATGGTAATTGATGATCATTTTAACCTACTGTAAACATATAGATTACTATATTACCACTATTGCTACTAACATTTACACTATTTTTTTGTTTCACGTAGTGGCGTTTGATATTTTCTCTATTTTCTTCTGCTGATTTGCTAGCGCTAGAATATCATAGTTTTCGTAATATTGATTTGTTAATCTATAATATAACGATAAAGAAAAACATGAAACTGAACTGAAGTCATTTAGAATACTATTTTATTTATAAACAATTTTCTCAACTTGGGCTCCAACTGGGAGTGGCCATCTATCTGTACAATCCCACAATCCTTGAATTAACTTTCCAAATTGAAGATATGTAAAATGCCACATTCAACATCGATTTTTTTTTAACAACTCGCTTTAGATAGTTATATCGGTGACTATAATAATAATTGGCCATATATAAAATTACTATTAATTACTAATGATTAAAAATGAACGTCATTATCAAATATACTTTGAGGGTATACAAGGCAACTATCGAACACGGTGATTAATTTAATCTTGCCCAAGTACTTTCGATCAATAGATCATCTTCAGGGGCATTTCGTCAGTTGTGGCCTATCCGACATAGTAGAATGTCATAAATGTAAAATTTGGACATAACAATACAAAATACAATACACTAAGACAAACAAACACTTTTTAAGGAGAAGCTACATGTTCTATAGAAGCCGGAGACAGAATGTCATCAAGAAATCCCTGTCAACACAAATGGATATAAAAGTTCCCTTCCCGCGTGATAAAGACCGGGAACCCACGGTCGTTGACAACCCAATGCGCTACCGTTTGAGTAGAGTAGGTGCATAAACGGTGTAGCCAACTTCCTATTCTGGCAGAAACAACACCCCTGCGAGTCCGTCTTCAGCGAGGGTGACACTACAGCTATATCGTGAGGCTCACCCTTCCCGCAGTACCTGTGTTGCTATACAAGTCGCTGCCCGTGATCCCTGAAAGGACAAACAGTTACGCAGAGGATAAATGGACCACTAAGCGCGTTTGACAGGTTGCCGCCGAGGAGCCTACTCCTCTACCCGTCTCGCAGGTGCACATTCAGATTGGTACTGATCGTATATGACCTGCAAAACCTCCTGCATAAAGTTTATGTGGAACGAAAGCAGAGTGGTCCCTCTTGAGTTGGTCTTGGATACTAGGAACGCAAGTTGTTGACCAGTGCGACTTATGGACTCG